TGCTACAAAACGAGCAAATACGGTATTTGTCATATAAAAATGAACATGGCTAGATATCAGCGTTTCTCAACCTCTTTTTGCCCTGAAATACCCGTATGTACACTTTTTAACTCGTGGGACACCGAGGAATTAGAAGGTAAAATTGATGATTCATTTTCAAAAAATTTAATCTACTGTAAAATTAATAAGTTTGTTGTAAACTTGATAATTAAAAAAAATGGTTTATGATATTGAACGATTAACAAAAACGCCACCCTTTCCAGACTGGCATGAGGTTGTCCGCCTGTTTAAATAGCAAGGCATGTTTGTCGCCATCTGGGAGACAAATCCACGGCCCATAGGCGTCGAAATGAGACCAGATAGCCATGGCGACCAATTTGGTCGCAATTTTGATCCCAGTCTTGCATGAAAGAGCAGTGTTCCGCAGAACACAGTTTGAGAAAAACTGTTTATGTATTTCTTTCGTGATTTAATACAAATACTATCCAAAATCGCTTATATCTAAATTTTAAAGTTCCATGCAATGCGTTACCGACAGGATATCCTGTGTATAGTTATCATATATACAAAACTATGCCTATGGATAATTATAAATCATGACATGATGCTGCCTACGCATATGTTATTACAAAATTATGGCTTTATTTATGTTAACACTTCTTGGAAAAATTATCATTAAAAATGTTTAAATGTGTGTGGCTCCTCACTTGTCACATAGTGCTACATGTTATTAACACACTTGCCATCACACTGGTTTGAATCCTTTGGGGATAATTATGCCTGAGAGGGTTGCCCTACTTCACTATAAAAATACCACATTTCGGAATATTATTCCAGGATGTATTCATAATAGCAAATACTATTTTATTTATTATTTCTGCATTTTATGCTGAACTTATGCACTATTATGAGCCGATTTGAAATATATTTCCCATTCAGAAATATTATTCCAGAAATGGGAAATTATCTAATCTCTTCCACAATGATATATAGCAAGGGTTCTCAACCATGTATATCCCGTGGCCCCCTTTCCGGAGGCTTTTGGCACTCACAGCCCCCCTGTTTGTTATTCCAGAGGTATTTATAGTGTCATTTTGATTGATAGATTCCGAATCCTATTATGTTCAAACAATTCATGCTAAACAAATTGAAATCATCCTGTGAAATAACTTGAGAACGCGGAGTTTTCTAGCAATACAGCAAATAAAATCAGTAAAATCAGTTTTCTGCATAACTTAAGAATGAGGAGTTTGTTAGTAAATTATTCAATTTTGATATCACATAAATTTTCTGAAAACATTCAATGAAAATTTATTTTGAGTTTTTCCTAGCTCGTCATTTTATACTCGGTTTATCTCTTGTTCATGTATGTTCAAGTATAAATTATATCAAGGTACGAGGTTATTCCAGTTCAAATATATTGTCCTCCTAATAAGGAGTTGTGATGGCTAGACCTGTAAATAAATAAAAATTGAATAGCCCTTGGGCGTCTCAGATGAGCGGGTTTTAGAAATGTTGGTGAACAGTGGCGAACATGATGTGGGATTAACTAAATAGTGTTCCCTTAAAAAAATAAATATTTGCATTGTAGGAATTAATTGCATTGGCAGAATCACACTTAGATGTTAGTATTGATTTATGTATTAATTTAGGTCATAAAGTTCCGCCTTTTCTCTAAAGAGTACTTTTTATTTGATTTTTGCTTCATTTAAACTAAGGGAACACTTATATACCTACTTTTTTCTCTATAGAACTTCAGTGTAAGATTTGCCACATGTTATTATGATTTAGAATGTCAGTCAATTGAAAGTGTTGGGTTAGAACAGCGTGTGTTGCTATCTATCCCTCATTTCTTACTAACTTTGTATGGGAATAGCAGGGTAGTAATTAGTCATGTTTCTCTGCTTATCTTTTATTGTTGTTTAATAGTTTTATCTAACTTAAGCTGAACAGATGAATTGTTGAGGATGTGAAAATAGAATCGATTCATAATCAGTCTGGGATATTTCTATTTTTAACTTAACTTAGCCTTATCTCATTATTATATAGATCAGTGCTGTACCGATTTCATGCGACCCGCCGAACTGAAGTGAAATAATCTAACACTTTAAAACTTATTAACAGTATAGTATCCATATAGTCAGATTAGTTTAATGGGCACTCCTATAGTATGTGAACCAAGATGGCGGACACCGGAACGTAGTATGTGTACCAGGTTAGGGTTAGGAGTGGACATAATTTTATTCCAATGTTTCTTATTTTAGTTCTATTACGAGTTCACGGACTAACATAGTATTTGTACCTGAAATTATGGCCTAATCCTAACCTGGTACACATACTACGTTCTGGTGTCAGCCATCTTGGTTCACATACTACATGAGTACTGTTTAATCGGCCACATTTCTTTGTTCATCTAATTTAAAGTTCATTAACTCATCTGAGATAGACAAAATAAAACAGTTCAGGAACCAGTGATGAAGCAATAGTAAAATTGTACCTATATAATGAAATAAGGTTGGGTATTGGAAATTGGAACAGTTATTTGTGTCAGATGAACTTGATGGCAGAGGAAGCAATAATATAACATTGGTGGCACTAACCACCCCATTAGAGGAGTCCAGTCAATCTCTCTCACATAATTATCCCACACAGGATGCAGACCTAGAAGGCTAATTAGAGCTGCAGCAGCACGTGCAGACGGCTCGCTAGTCGTCTAATTGAGAATGATCAATCATAATAGTAAATCCCAACTCCTTGGTTCAATCTTCCCTTACATTATTGAACTGGTAAACATGGCACATCATTAATATTCTCATCTGTTCTTATGTTATGTTTATTGTAGTTATGTCAGGATAAGTTAGAAGCTGGGCAAAACCTGACCTGAATGTATAGGGCGGCTTCCTCTACCATCAAGTCAATGGATCTGAAAAAAATGGTTACGTATTTCTATAGTCAACATAGGCCAGCCTCAGACTAGATGATGTTGTTTGCCATGTATTTAGATGTCTTGTTGGCTTTCCTCGCCCTGATTCCAATTTGCAAGTCCAATTTTAACTGTCTAAAGACCACATGGCGAAAAGGCAATTCCCAAAAATGCAATGACAGAATCAAACAATTTTCTCTTTCTGTCACATTCTGAAATCATACTTCCAAATATCAATTATTGAATATCTTCTAAATCATTGGTTTTCAAACTCGGCCCGTGGGCCGATTACAGCACGCGTAACGATTTGATATGACTCGCCGAATTTGAGTGAAATGGTTTAAACTTTTATGTTTTTGCGATCTAGATATCGCTAATCGTCACGTCATTATCACAATTTGAGCATTTGTATATTCATGATAATTCAATTATACCGCGGGCAATCAACTTTAGAAACCACTGCTCTAAATTGTATTCAAGAGTTATTTTTCCTGAAATATTGTAAAAGAAATACTAATGAGATGAGATTGACGAAGCATAATAAAAAACTCCCAATCTTTCCCATTTATCATTGAACCTGTGAGCATGACAAATCAATGAGACATTTATTTCCTGTTGCATTCATAATCATTGCTAGTATTTGGCTGTTCTGTTTATTGTTTCTCACATTTGGTTTGGATAAGTGCAAAGAAGGGGGCTGTAACCTCCTAACCTTAACAGACAGGACAGTGTGTCGATTTGAAAAACTTATGCCCAATAATGTATCATTTAGCAATGTAGTTCCCAACGTTGTTCGTTAAAAGTCCATGCTTTCGAAAACAACTAATTTTTCCCATACTCGGCATGAAATGATAACCGGACGAGAGGCCATGGTTCGCCATATGCTTAAGCCGTTTCGTCGCTTTTTCTCTCCCCCGGGATAAATATGTAAATCCTATCCTAAATTCCTTCCTTATCCTCTTTTATAACTTTTTTCCTCTCACACTATGCTTAAATATACTTTATTAATCCAATCTTTAATGGATCCTCGCTGGTATTATGAGCAAGTCGTGCTTTTGTACAATTTGGGTACCGGTAGTTTGATTTGTGTGCAAAATAGACACAAAATTATTGTAATAGTATAGAACTAAAGAATTCATGTGTTGGGAAACATTGGATTAGCCAATTTATCATTGTACTGACAAAAATGACAAATCAATGAGACTTTTATTTCCTGCTGAATTCATAATCATTGCTAGTGTTGTATTGACGGTGTTGCTAGGAATGTTATTGAGTGCTTGTTACTTATCGATTTTAATCGGTAAGTATGTTGATGGGTATTTGTCTGTATGTCTGTTAGATGCACGCGATATCTCACGGAGGCGTGGTTGAATCTGCTCCAAATTTTGCATGTGCATTCATCATATCTCGGACCAGAAGCATATTGATTTTGGATGAATTTTGTCATATAATTAGCGAGTTATTAATTAATTAGTGATGAAGAGATCTGGATTTTAAAAAGCGAGAGATTTTTGTAGCAGAACATAACACTGTTTCAGTTTTATATTAAGTGTCTATTAGGTTTAAGTTTCTTTATAATATTAAGTTATTCTTATATTAAGCCTTCGTGTCTATTTTTAGTTTTGGTTGTACAGATATGAGAATTACATATATGTGATATTTGCAAAATCTTGAGAGTAATTTAGTTCTGATGCGATATAGGATTTAATTTGATAAAAAACCAAGGTTATCATATTATGTTTATCAGTTTAGACAGGGCAGCGATCGGCAATCATTTATAATAAATACAATATGTAGAATATTCAATCATATTTATAGTCTTGTTCCTACAATTCTGTTAATTTTTGCAATGCTCTTTGCAACACGTTATGCCGCACTAGTGTATCGCAGCGCACCCATTGGGAACCACTGCCATTTGTGAAAAATATTATTTATACCAGTTTCACCACATAACCCAGGGTGTAAAATAAGCCATGGCAAACTAGTTCACCCAAAAACCGTAGTAGCTCATCGACTATTTGCACAGTGCCTTGTAAAGAGTGAAGCACTACATAAAATCATCTTTTATTTTTAACAGTGCACCTGTATCTGTATCTAAGCCTACAGAAGCACAAACAGCATCTTTAAGTTCCTCTTACTCTCCCCCGTCAGCACCGCAACAGACATACAACGCTACTTCTCCCACTGCAAATAAAAGTTACTCAGCTACAAGTAATTACTCTTCCAATAAAGGATATTCAACAGGTATGTTTTTAATAAAGTGTTTCAGTGTTTGTTTGCAACAAGGCTCTAGACCAGACATGAGCAAACCACGGCCCACGGGCCAAATCCGGCCCATTGGGTAATTCAATCTGGCCTGCCTACTGCTGTCACAACATAACTGAAATCAAATTTTGATGTTTTTGCTGAAAATAGCTCAAGGAATTTGTTGAGATCGCGGTTAAATTTAGTTTTGGCACCTTTTCTTTGTAACACTGTAAATATTGTTCATAAAATGGAACTTTTTATGTCAATCACACTCACAAAATTTTTATCCCTGGGTTTAAAAACCTTGCCCCCCCTGCTTTAAGGGTTCGTCAAACTGGGGGTTGTGAACGGGGTCACGTAACGGATTTTAGGGGTTGCAATAAGTACACCAATTTCATACAAAGTACTATATATCTGTTGTACGTTTTTGGACTTTTGATATGAAACACTATTTTCGATTTTTTGTGCATGAATTATTAGAACATAATGGGATTTGAAATCTTCTGATCAAAACAGAATTATAAATACGACTGAAATGATAAACACGGGGCCATGAGTGCCCAAACCCTCCTGCCCATTAGTCATAAATAGTTGGGAACCACTGTTATACACAATTGACCGCTTGTACTGCAGCCTTTTTTGAAGTGAATATGGGTAATTCCATAGTCCTTTAAAAAAAAATTTAGCGTTTTACATGTCATTCGGAAACAGTTAAGACGCGAAGACATGAAATCATCTTAAATTTTTCTTCATTATATTTTCAGCCAACAACAAGCCAACGTACAACTCATCATACAACGTTTCTTTGACCCCTAAATCACCTTCTAAAATGTCGACCCCACGTTCCCCAACGTACTCTTCACCGCACAACAAACAACCGAGCTTTGAAGATAAAAAGTGAGTTTTATGTTTCTCATTCCTAATTCAATTTTATTTTAAATTCTTAATATTGATTTACACACATTTTCCAACCCAGGGGGGGAATTTTGTAGTTTTTTTGGGGGAAGGGGGGGGGGGATTTTTCTATAGTATTACTAATATTTTTTTAGTTAGTTAATGAGACTTACACACAATCATTATAAAATTGCTTGAACTGTACAAAAGGGGAGGCACGACTCGTACAGAGCCTTGTTTGGAGTAGAAATGTCTAAAAAAATACAATTTTTTTATAGTGCTACTCCAGATATTGAATACCGGCCAGTAGATTCAAGAGATTCATACCGAAGACTATACGAGGAGAGTCAAGACTCTGAATGGCAGCCCACTGCACATCAGTCTACCCTGCAGTCCCCATCCATGAAGGCTTTAGCAATGAGCAGTGGGAGCTATGGTGAGATTTTGGATTAAATATGAAGCAATAAAACATTGCTCAAAAATCGTGTCCGGGAAATTTGCCGCATGTGAAATCGTCGCAAGACCATTTTGCTGTAAAACAAGCATTTGTGATTAAAACAGTTATGTTTATAAGGGTATGCTCTTGAATAATTAATCTTTTTTAAATAAAAAGGTACTTGAAAATTCCTAACTGTTTTTATCACAAATACGCGATTTTTTATGCGGCGAATTTTCCTAGAACCCTCAAAAACACGATAGATTGAAAAAACAGGACCCAAGTCATTTAGAACTTACTAAAGAAAACTTTTATGCAAATGTGTCATTTCAGGGATGCTTATTCACCGCCAGAATATATATAAGTTTACTCTGACATGGACAAACTACGACCCGCGGGCCAAATAAAGCCCATTGAGTAATTCAATCTGGCCGCCTGATGCTGCCACAACCAAACTAAAACAAAATTTTGATATTTGAGCTAAAATGACCGAAGGAGTTTGTTGAGATTGCAATCAAACTTAGTTCTGGCACGAGGCTTATATACTTTTGCTTTTGTAACGCTGTGAATTTTTACGTTACACTTACATGGCCCGCCAGTGTAGGGGGGGGAAAAATTTTTGGCCCCTGGTTCAAAACCTTACCCACAATTGATTTAACTTTTTTCTTCAACAGAAGCAACTCACGTCCCAGAGGACGAAAAACAGAAACTTATCGTAACGGAAGAGATCCGTGACATGATTCTTGAAGCGGAAACTGAAAAGCATAATGGGCATCACCCATCCATGCAGGACGCTGCATTACGACCAACCGGAATCAAGGTTTATGATCCAAGTCAGAAGTATACAAGCAGGTAAGTTTGACTTTGTGGTTATCAGCCTTTTTTAATGCACTCATCTCTTTGCATATTATGGAACACGAGTCACAAGCTAGTAATGGTTTACAGGCTCTGAGTGAGTGCCCATATCTTTGCTCAATGACTCTGCCTCACTTGTAAGTGAGTGCCTGTAACTTTTGCTCAGAGATGAGTCTATTTTACTTCTGACTGAGTGCACATAACTTTGCTTACAAATGAGTCTTCTTTACTTATGAGTGAGTGCCCGTAACTTTGCTTACAAATGAGTCTTCTTTACTTCTGAGTGAGTGCCCGTAACTTTGCCCAGAGATGAGTCTCTTTTTCGTTTCTCAAGAAAATTTATTAATGAGGTCATACAAATTCACTCAGAAGTGAAGGAGACTCATCTATAATCAAAGTTACCACTGAACAACCATAAGGTAATGACATTTTTTTCATGCTTATTTGGAAAGTTTAATAATACCATTGATATGTCCTAAAGTAATAAGCACCCCCCGTCCCCCCCCCCTCCCAAAAAAAAAGGAAAATTTCCACTTCAATATGAATGCCATCATTACCTCATGATTACACATTGATTCTCTATTATGAGTAATTTGAAACTCCCATTGTCCTGTGTGTTTTGATTTGTTTCATCATAAAACAACCTCTTTATTACATCACAATCAATAATGAATTCTTGGCATTCTTTCATCATCAACAGACAAAAGATTTTGCTTTTGTGGGATAAATCCATTTTATTTTAAATTTTATGAACTTATAGCGTGGTCCTTAGACAAAAAGAGACCAAAAGTGGGTTTATACATGTATTATCTACCAATTATGCTTGGGCCTAGCATAATTCTTCTTATAACAAATTGATGGTGGAATTTATATCAATGCTAGATGTGGAATTTTGATTTAATTTTCGTAAATAATTGAACCTTTCATAATATTTCACAAAGAAGAATTCAAATTATAGGTATGATTATTCAAGTATGGCCGATTGTAATAATGTTACCTAGGCAAAGTTTATCCTCCCATTATACTTGGCAAATGATAATATCTGATTATATTGATATGTTCAAGGATGGACAGAACTAAATATTTCTCTACTCTGAACATTCTAAAATCTTTGTGATATCATAAACGTATATACTCGCATATAAGCTGAGTTTCAAACTCAAAAAAGAGTTGTCAAAGTAAGGGGTTGGCTTACGCACACATAACACTGATCGCACTAAAATTCTACTCATACACGCACGCATACCGTAGGCCTGTACTTTGACTATTTCAAACTCTTTTTTCCTCCCTCTCTTTGAATAGAAAGCTACTTTTTAAACATTCAATTTCTAATGCAGGGGTCGGCAACCTTTTGTCGCTCGCGGGCCAAAATTAAGGTGGCAAGTCATTGGTGGGCCGCACGTATTTTTAGGAAGTTGAAAAACCAAACGAATGGTACTTTTTATAATAAAAATCAAGCAGTGATACATCTGTCGAATAGAATATAGATTTTATTCCTCATTGCATCTCATAAAATTCCATTTGAATATTTTCAGCGCCATTGAACCCTTTGCACTTGGCATCAACTTTTCTGCATTTTATTGCCATTTGCTTAATTATATTTAAATTATATGCTCATTAAACGAGTAATTGTGAATTATATAATTGTTAGGTTATAATATAATTTAGTCTAAAGAATATATTTGTTAAAACGGATGTTTTGTTACTATAATTTAGTGAAGCGTCACGGGCCTGATTATAGTGCTTCGTAGGTTTCCGACCCTTGCTCTAATGGATCATTAGCTAGTTATGTGCAAGTCACGCTTTTGTACAGTTCAAATACTTTATAATGAGTTTATCATAATAGCGAAAGAACTGAAAAATAGTAGTAGTTCCATAGCAAATACAAATTAATTCTTCCCAGTTTGGAAACATGGTACTAATTTTTAACTTTATCTCTACAGGCCAACAAACAGCACCCCATCTCCAGCCCCTTATTCACCCGGCACCAACAACTACACCCAACCCCCAAATCACTCCTCGCAGTCGAGTTACGGCTCCCAGTCAAGCACAGGGTCTGGCCCAACTTACTCATCTCAGCCTCAGCCTGCTAAGTCGAAAGCAGTCGGCAACATCAGCAAGTTTCTTCAGTCTTCTGGAGCAAAGCAAGGACAACCAGTGTTTGCTAAGGTAAAGTTTATTTTTAATAGAAGTTCTCACATCTTCGCCCTGAACAAGGCTCAAGTCAAGCTAATACTAACGATGGGATTTTGGGAAAAATAATTGCAATCACCATACAGGGATAAAGTGCTCGACCAATAATTACGACTTTACGTAATTCGTAACTTCCCTTCCGTAACTCGAAATAATTCCGTAAATCTGTAAATTACGTGCAAGCCTACTGAGGGATTCCGCGACTTACGCTGTTTCGAGGTTACTAACGGACTCCATAAAAATATGAAAGATAGTACTGTACTGTAATATCTAAGCCCATAAACCGGATCATTGTGATCAAGAAAATCAGTGCGTTGGGCTCAAGGACAATACAGTACGATAGGTATAGAGTAATTTATGTACCGTACAGTATAATGTTCCGACTTACACTGAAATTCGGGTTACAACGCGTCACAAGAACGGAACAACGTCGTAAGTCGAGGACTCCCTGTATTTGGAATTCAAATTAATAAGGATCTATGTCCACAACCACTAATACATAAAGAACAAAAGAGGAACTGCCAGTTTTTGTTAAGGTTAGCACAAGGGTTCGGCTCTAGGCAAGACATTAAAAAACTTTCAGTCTCTTAATCTAGCAACTACTGATTTATTAGAGCAGTGGTTCCTAAACTGCGGCCTGTGGGCCAATTACGGCTTGCCAAATCAATTAATATGGCCCGCCAAACTTGGGTGAAATAGTTTAACACTTGTTTACTTATCGATTTCAATCGGTAAGTATGTTGATAGGTATTTGTCTGTTAGATACACGCGATATAACCCACGAAAACGAGGTTGAATCTGCTTCAAATTTTGCATGTGCATTCACCATGGCTCGGACCGGAAGCCTATTGATTTTGGATGAATTATGTCGTATAATTGGCGAGGTATTAAATATTTAGTGATGGACACACGGTGTCACTATGGGGTAAGAGCGCTGTTTTGGGGGATCTCCTAACTTTCGATCAACAAGTCTTCGGTCTCCGACCCGATATTCTCGTTTTTATCTTTTAGTGTTCTAGAATGCGAATTATTACATCATTATCACAGTGTAAGCATGTGTTTATTCGTAACAATTCAATTATACCGATATCTTGATTGTATGTACCGGTATCAGCCCCCCATCTCAGCTGTCGAATATCTCCCACTTCTGTCAATCAACTTTGGGGACCACTGTATTAGAGGATTTAATTTTTGCGTATTTGAAAAAAATCGTGATTCATGTGTTTCTTCCCCCACTTGTGTCCGAAGCACAGTCAGTGTTCGCTACGTAGAATATTTTATGACTTATATTTTAATCATGTTTTCAGCGCAAAATAATTAAAGTTCCTAATATTTGGAATTGAAATTAAATAAAAGAAGGCCTTGTACAAGCACTGCTGATACATGAGGATCTACGATTCTTAGAAATACCATCGGGTGCTAATTTTTTTCTGATTTCACGCTATAATTTCCTCTCCAGAACATCGAAAAATTCTCTTTTTTTAGACTCTGGCAGATCTACAATGTCCGTTTGGTGATCCAGCAGTTTTGGAAATTCGTATCGGTAACACGTTGCCGGTGCCAACCGTTGCTTGGTATCATAATGATCGACCAATCAGAGAATCGAAGGATAAAGACATCAAGTTCTTGAGCAAAGGTATATTTAAAAATTCGGAAAAAGTATTTAATTCATCCAAAGCTGTAGACCAGGTGGGCAAGGTTTCTGGACCAGGGTCCAAAACTTTTGCCTCCGTAAACTGGCGGTCCATGTAAGTGTGACGCAAAAATTACCTACATTTTATGAACAATATTTACAATGTTACCAAGTAAAGGTGGAAAACAATAAGCCTCGTACCAAAACTAAATTTATTTGCATTCTCAGCAAATTCCTTGAGCTATTTTTTAGCTAAAACATGTGCTCATTTGGGTTATGGGCTTATGGCAGCATCAGACGAGCCAAATGAGAGTCCCGTGAGAAAAATTCAACGTACGACACCAGCCCCAGAAATAAGAAATAACAAAATCTTCAGCGTATGCAATCCTTCTTTGGACGACTGTTAAGAACACTTAGTAAAATTAATGATTTTTTGGTTTCTGCAAGAAATTTTGACAATTATTCTTAAAGATTAACACTATCCTTGCCTTGGTCAGTTTTGATCGAGGAAGGGGCGAACATATTGATGTCATCATTTTTCGGTCACTTTGATACATCGAGCGTAGTTTCTCAATCGGTCCTAAAACAGTTTTTTCTCCATTATCTATGGTTAATATATACACTGGCCATGCTAGATAAGTTGATAGTTTAGTAAATGGCAGACGCTACTTCCATCGCAGTGAAATTCATATGATGCAATTCATTGACTATTTCACGCCTTCCACCACCTTCGAAGAAAGACAAGGGAGAAGAACAGCTGTGAATATTTTTCTTATTTGGAAGACGTGTATATGTCCTTGGCACTGTAACTGTAAACATATCCAAATCAGTTCGAAATTTCATTTTTTTCGAATATTCTCAATTTTACGATCTTCAAAACGCTTTAATATTTCTTTTCAGGTATTGTTCACACCTTAGTTCTGGGCGAGTTTGGACCTGAATTCCGCGGGAGATATAAATGTGTTTTGACAAATAAACATGGGTCTGCGAGCTGCACGTCTACTTTATCAGAGGAACAACCGCAGGCAAATAATAATGGCGGATATGCGGTAAGTAATGACAGTGGTGCCTAACCTTTTTCAAGCGGCTCAAATATTTCAAAAAAATAAATTTTGTAGAATCTCGCGATCTAAATACATGATCAAATACTAAACGACATGTTCTGCTTTTATAGTCGCGAAACCGAATGACTAATAGAAAAAAGGTGGTGCTCCAGAATTGTGTGTACCAAAATGGACGTAACTAATTTTGTTTGCCTACTTTACATCAAGTTGTAGGAAGGAACTGAAACCTATGGGCAGGGGCTGTATTCACTTGGCTACACAGACTTGTAATATAACTAAAATAGAGAAAATCAGAATAAAATTATGCCCTAACCTGGTACATACACTACAGGAGTACCAAAGAGTGCACTGGTTTGTTGCCATCACACTTAAGCAAAATGAATGTTGCCAAGTTTTTGTGATACTTTCCACAAAACCGTAAATATGGCTCGTCTTAGGGTGAATTTTACAAGCAAGAAAGTAATTTATACCAAACATTGCAGATTATTCCATCGTTAGGATTACAACGTTATGCAACCATATAGCTCAACGTTGCATAATAAACTTGTGATATTGTGGGGCAAGTTTTTCGAATGTTTTGTTTTTTGTACAGCCTGCACCAACCTCACCATACGGCAACCAATCTGGTACCAATCGTGGTTACCAGCCATCTTATACCAGTACGTACCAGGCACCAGTCAACAACCAGCGAACCAGCAAACCAATGGCAAGCATATCAGTTGGTCTCTATTCACAAAACGCCGCAAATGAAGCTTACAATGCTCAGACAAGGAAACCAGTTGCAAGGTAAGATATCTCAAATAGGCGATAACCTAGTGGAGGAGCCTCCTTTACTTTCGAGTGAGTGCCCGTAACTTTGCTCAGAGATGAGTCTCCTCTACTTCTGAGTGAGTGCCTGTAACTTTGATCAAAGATGAGTCTTCTTTACTTCTGAGTGAGTGCCCGTAACTTTGATCAAAGATGAGTCTCCTTTACTTCTGAGTGAGTGCTTGTAACTTTGTTCAGAGATGAGTCTACTTTACTTCTGAGTGAGTGCCTGTAACTTTGCTTACAAATGAGTCTCCTTTACTTCTGAGTGAGTGCCTGTAACTTTGCTTACAAATGAGTCTCCTTTACTTCTGAGTGAGTGCCTGTAACTTTGCTCAGAGATGAGTCTCCTCTACTTCTGAGTGAGTGCTTGTAACTTTGTTCAGAGATGAGTCTACTTTACTTCTGAGTGAGTGCCTGTAACTTTGCTTACAAATGAGTCTCCTTTACTTCTGAGTGAGTGCTTGTAACTTTGTTCAGAGATGAGTCTACTTTACTTCTGAGTGAGTGCCTGTAACTTTGCTTACAAATGAGTCTCCTTTACTTCTGAGTGAGTGCCCGTAACTTTGATCAAAGATGAGTCTCCTTTACTTCTGAGTGAGTGCCTGTAACTTTGCTCAGAGATGAGTCTCCTCTACTTCTGAGTGAGTGCCTGTAACTTTGATCAAAGATGAGTCTTCTTTACTTCTGAGTGAGTGCCCGTAACTTTGATCAAAGATGAGTCTCCTTTACTTCTGAGTGAGTGCTTGTAACTTTGTTCAGAGATGAGTCTACTTTACTTCTGAGTGAGTGCCTGTAACTTTGCTTACAAATGAGTCTCCTTTACTTCTGAGTGAGTGCCTGTAACTTTGCTTACAAATGAGTCTCCTTTACTTCTGAGTGAGTGCCTGTAACTTTGCTCAGAGATGAGTCTCCTCTACTTCTGAGTGAGTGCCTGTAACTTTGCTCAAAGATGAGTCTCCTTTACTTCTGAGTGGGTGCCTGTAACTTTGCTCAGAGATGAGTCTCCTTTACTTCTGAGTTAGTAATGTAACTTTGCTTACAGATGAGTCTCCTTTACTTCTGAGTGGGTGCCTGTAACTTTGCTCAGAGATGAGTCTCCTTTACTTCTGAGTTAGTAATGTAACTTTGCTTACAGATGAGTCTCCTTTACTTCTGAGTGAGTGCCTGTAACTTTGCTCAGATATGAGTCACCTTTACTTCTGAGTGAGTGCCCGAACTTTGCTGAGAAATGGGTCTCCATTACCACTGAGTGCCTGTAATTTTCCTAAGAGATGAGTCTTCTTTGGTTTTCTTTAGTTCTGAGTGCTTCAAGCAAATTTCATAATAATATGAACAATCAATAATTCTCTCAAAAACTCTCAAAATCAATATTTTTCTCAACAGAGACGAGCCTGAGGAATCTGACGTGATGCGAGCTCTCCGTGAGGAGGGACAAGTCGGCGACGATAAACCGCATTACCAGTCCCGATCAATGAGGATGCTGAATGAAGCACTGATGCCAGAATCGGATGATCTGTAAACCCTATCTGGTTGTATTTGCATCAATCTGTAGAATCTGGTTGTATTTGCATCAATCTGTAGAATGTGATTTTATTTGCATTCTAATCTTAACTGTCTGGTTGTATTTGCATTCTAATCTCAACTATCTGGTTGTATTTGTACAATCTGTAGAATATGGTTGTATTTGCAGTCTAATTTTACCTGAAATCTGCCATTGCCCTTCTCTCTCGGAACATTTGCATTTGCCACCATTTGTATATTATGGCTGTATGTGCATCTTGATCGTGCCCCTGGGACAATAAATTCATCTCCTGACTGGTTGCATTTGCCTATATCCATAAATCCTAAATATGGCTGTATAGGCATTCTAATCCTTTGCAAGATTCACTATAATTAGACTATGTGTATATCCGGGCCAACCCCTGGCTTGACATGAAACACTGGTGCTCCAGAAGTATGTGTACCAATATGGAGATAACTAATTTTGTTCACCTACTTCACATCAAGTTGTGTAAAGGGACCATGGGCAGGGGGTATATTCACTTGACTAACACAGACAGTCCCTGAACTCGCAATAGAACTAAAATAAGGAAAATCGGAATAAAATTATGACCTAACCCTAACCTGGTACACATACTACGGGAGTACCAAGTGAAAATGCACTTTCCAGACATTTTATTCTCGACTTCACACTCAGAATTGATAATTGAATCAAACCCAGGGTAAGTGGAAAATTTGACCCGTATTGGCCAATCTCCCTGTCATAATAAATTTACTTAACAATGTATTTGGTTGCCTTCATCTGCAGACTGCGGCTGTATGTGCATCACTATGTCCTAAATTGTTTCCTTAGAGCAGTGGTTCCCAACCGGGGGCCCTGACCCACCGAGGGGCCACAGAGGGGTTGGAGGAGGGGGGGCACAAAACTGGTTTTACTTTTCCCTTTTGATGGAAAACTTTCCGTTCTTCCTAGTTACATTGCTTGATAAGGGTGTTTTCACTTTGTTAAAAATGAATTGTTTGAACATAATGGGATTTGGAATCTACCAATCAAAACACTATAAATACCACTGGAATGATAAACAGGGGGCATGAATGGTTGGGAACCACTGTCCTAGAAAACTATTCCATGCTAAACAATCTCACATTAAGAGAACCATTTCGTCTTCCATCGAGTAATTGTTAATGAATTTAAGAAGCTTTTTAGTCCGCTTTCGTATTTTTGGGTTGTTTTACCCTCATTTATGTTTTTGCCGAAAATTTTTTAACAAATCATGTTATCCAAGAACAAGAATTAGCAAATGTTTGCTATTGTTCACAGCGCCTTTTGCTTCACTGTTTATGATGTAACAATATTTTATTATTACATCATCATGTGTATTCAGCAAAGGGTTTTATGACATCACATTGTATAATAAAATTACGTGATATACCAATTATATTTATTACTTTTTGCAATTTACTGTAAATTTTAAATTTTTCATGTTAAATTTTAGTCAGAATATTATATTATCGGCTTTTATTACTAAACAGTGTATTGATTTTAGCATTGTGTTATATATTGTTGCATCACTATTGACATCATCATTTCAATGACATCACAATGACATTTTTCATGTCTCACTGCCCCATAATTGTTCCATAACAAATAATTTTTTGTCTAAAATGAAATTTTTTTTTTCCGTTTACGCTTGACCACACAAATTGCTGTACATTATTCTGCAGAAAAATTTTATAAAAAACATTTACGTTTTGAACAATTTTATACTTGACTCTACTGAATACTTAAGCTCGATAGAACAATTACCTGTGTAATATTCTGCATCAAAATCTTGCACAATCCTCGAAAGATTTGTGAAAAAATGATGCCCGAGTGCACATATTTTGGAAAATGTTCTATGCTTGACTGAACATATATTGTGTAGGAAAATTTGCGCTTGACTGCACATATTTGTAGAAATTTGCGGAACACAGAAAATATTGCTTAATTTCACTTCCGGTTTCAAATATAGCGTTATTGTAATAACTGTTCTTAGCTAAAAACATTTTCATTCGAACTTTCAAGTGATTTCATTCTTTCCATACCTCTCATTTCATTCCAGCTTTTAGCATTTCAGTGGCCGCTCGCAACTTTCTAGTTATCCCCTGAAACTATTTTGGGCAGCAAACTTGTAAGAAAATCAGCATTATTATATAATTCTCATTTTTGCATCAATTCCAAATTTTATTCAAAATGTCAAGTGATTCCCTTTTTTTCATTCCTCTTAATTCATTCCTTTTCTTGTATTTTCATGCTTTTTCAGTGTATTCTGTGCTTCCTTTCACCGCTGGCTTCGGTTTTACGCTAATAATGTAAATATTTGAAATCCAGCGTTTTCAGAAAGTAATCTATCTATAACTGACTTTTATGTTAGATAATGTATCCGTCATGCATGTTCCAACCCCCCCAAAAAAATTCTATTTTTCCAAAAATAATGCAAATTCACCCCCCAAGGCAAGTCAATTTTACCCACAGTTGAGGAACCCTGGTCTGGAACAGGGGTAAATATCTGGGATTCATCTCGATGCTTGTATTCTCACCCATGGTGAAATAAGTTGGGTAAGCAAACTGAAATATTCCCATTCTTTCAAAAATAGCTTCTTATCAAGAATAACCATATGTGACTGCTTCCTTTTCTCACACCAGATATAAAGCAAAAGCAAATGTCTAATTGACTTTGGTGTATTTTAACCCTAATTTTGTCAAAAAATTAATCAAGCATGGCAGACAGCATTTGTTATTTATCTTTGGGGTGAGATCATTCTGTCCAGTCATGCTTCATTAAATTTCGGTTCACTTTTTGGGCAAAATTATTCTGGCTGTCATGATTCATTTTTTTGGCCAAAATTATTCTGGCTGTCATGCTTCATTAAATTTCGATTCACTTTTTGGACAAAAATATTCTGGCCAGGCATGCTTCATTAAATTTCAATTTACTTTTTGGACAAAATTATTCTGGCCAGTCATGCTTCAATAAATTTCGATTCAATTTTTAGACAAAATTATTCTGGCCAGTCATGCTTCATTAAGTTTTGATTCACTTTTTGGACAAGATTATTCTGGCAATTCACGCTTCATCGAATTTATAATAAATGATTTGATTTTTCAACTTAACTGCCGCCAATATATAATTGCATTGTGATATTAATCTTGCTTTACAAATGATGGCGTCATTATTTAATTACGTCATCTATATTATTATCGTTTATTCATTACTCGTTTGATGAAGTCATGAAATATACAGCAGAAATAATAATATGTGATTCTGTTGATATGCTCGGGGCGATTTAGGATGTGGTAGGATTTTTGGTATTCCTGAAGTATGTGAACCAAGATGGCGGACAAGGGAACGTAGTATGTGTACCAGGTTATGGTTAGGCCATGATTTCAGGTACAAATACTGCGGGAGTCACTTACTGGCTTGTCTCCGAACTCGTAATGGAATAAAAATGAAAAAAAATAATAAAATTATTGTCCTTACCCAAACCTGGTACACATACTACGTTCTGGTGTCCGCCATCTTGGTACGCATACTTCAGGAATACCGGATTTTGTATATTTACCCCGGGGAGAGTAAAGCCGATAAGACGGCATAATCATATGACGTGTCACGACCTCTCGTACGGTTACTAGTCCATGTCGGGTATGGGATTAATTAGTCAGTTATTTGTTTTTCGGAAGCATGGACTTGATAGTGGAGGAAGCCGTAACTGACCTGTGGTGGCGAAGAATCCAGCAATCCTCTCGCGCCTAACCGATAGGATAGGATTTTGTATATTTATCCCGGGGGATAGGAAAGCCGATAAGACGGCTTATCCATATGGCGAACCACGGCCTCTCGTCCGGTTACCAGTCCAGGTCGGGTATGGGATTAGTTATTTGTTTTTCGGAAGCAGGGACTTGATAGTGGAGGAAGCCGTAACCGACCAGTGGTGGACCACTCTATGGCGGCGAGAAGTCCAGCGATCCTCTCGCACATGATCATCCCCGCATGGGATTCGAACCTGCGATCCAACGAAAGGTAATCAGAGATGCGGTGGCGAGCGTATTCCTAACGCTTAGCACGATGCGCCACACCCAGACACCATCGAGCCGGTCAATGTTGGGTATGGAATTAGTTAGCCAGTTATTTGCTTCCAAATAATGCTTTATCATATCTCTGTGGCCTATTTTCACAACGGTACACAGCTTTAATCATGTAATTCACTTGCTCAAGGGCATGCATTGGATTAGGAGAAATAACAATCCGAACAAACGTTATTCATTGCTGTCACTATGCGTCACTAGGAAGGTGACTTTGAACAGCAAAAATACCAAAATTAAATATATAAACGTGAAAAACAGGACAGTTGGTGTTCAAGGTAAAAGTTGAAGGGTTGTCAGTAGTTTTAGCCCACGGTTGAGCAAAGATGAATGACTTCGTGGTTAAATCGATTCGTGTAGTTCTATTTTCATGCGTACGTTTAAGTGAATGAATTTGAGTTCAACAAATGTTGGACTTTATTTATATATACTTTTTTTGGTATTTCCAAAGTATGTAAACCCAGATTGCGGACCCCGGAACTTAGTATGTGTACCAGGGCAGGGTTAGGCCATAATTTCATTCCACCAAGATGGCGCACAACCTGTAGTCTAACCTGGTACAACTACTATGTTCAGGTTGTGCGCCATCTTGGTCCACATACTTCTGGAGGTCCTATATTAGGGGTGGGCAACCTTTTTCGGTTCGCGTGCCAGAATCGGCTGATTTATTGATAAAATTCTTCCGTGTGCCGACCAAAATTGTCGAGAGCTCACTCAGTTGTTACGTCATAATATATTTCTTTGTAGCCATATGTCATAAAGGGATAAAAAGAGTTTAAATACCGAATTGTTAACAAACAATAATGAATAAACAAACACCGAGTTTCGTCAGATCATTCTTGTCTTGGAACATTTTTATGTGGAAGAGAATGATCTCGTTTTCGAGGCCCGCTCGCGTGCCGAATAAATGGGCTCGCGTGCCAGGGGTTGCCCACCCCTAAATAAACATCACAAGACGGTATTCCTTTATTCATTCCCACTCGAGAACTCTAGACATTACACTCACAATTAGCAAGTTAATTGGTCATTAAAATTAATTAGTTTTTCATGGAGGGAACAGGTAAACATCAAATATTGTGTTGGGAAGCTGTCGGAACAACTCTACCTACTGTCTCTCAGGATGTGCTGCGAACGAGAGTAAAAAATGCGGTTCGTGTGGGATTTGTTAGTCGTGCAAAAGGTACCAACCCGTGTAGATAGAACCAGATTGAATATAGGAAGGTAGAGCAGTGGGTTTAGTTACACTCGGACAGCCCCTGTGTATTAGTGATTTTGTTTGAATTGTATAAACAAAAGGTTACAAAGTTTATTGATTGGGGGCCAAAATTAGAAGCAGGAAGGATAATTGCAAGAGGCTGATACCGGCACCGAAACGTATATTTGAGAAAACGGTATAATTAGATTGTTACGAATATACACATGATTAAGTTCAATGGCGGTATCTAGAACGCAAAAAGTAAAAACATAAAGCTTTACCTATTTCACTTAGGTTCGACGGACCGTATTAAATCGCTATGCGGTCCATAATTAGCCCGCGGGCCGCGTGTTGACAACCCCTGGTATAAACTGTGAATATATATAAAGAAAACCTAATACTGGCAAACAGGAAAAGCTATAAAGTTTAAGGATAGTGGGGAGTATACAGGGGCCTTGTCAAAGCAAAATTTCATTTATTTAAGTTTCATTTATATTCAATTTGAATTTTTTTTTATTGAAACATTTTACGATTGAAACTTTTCGCCCGTTTGCCCCTTTCCAAATGACATATATTTATGTCACGAACCATGGCTGCGACGCCCTAGATACGCTACTGAGAGTATAAAATGGGATTCGTGTGAGGTTTATTGGTGTGAGGCAACAGGGCCATCTTAGGCGCTCCAGAAGTATGTGTACCAATATGAGAACAACTAATTTTGTTCGCCTATTTTACATCAAGTTCTGGGAAGAGAGTGAAACCCACGAGCAAGGGATATATTCACTTGGCTAACACAGACAGTAGCCGAACTCGTAATCGAACTAAAATAGGAAAAATCGTAATAAAATTATGGCCCAACCTGGTACACATACTACGGGAGTACCCAAGCTTTTATATAAGGACTAGTCCCACAGAGTTTAATAAACCTGAAGTAGTTTCTTTGCCTTGTTTTTGTAAAATAACGAGAATATCTGGAGCAAAATTTATTTTTTCATGTTATATATATCGACGTAACCATGCTGGCATCGGACCGTTTTATCGCCTTTCCTCTCCCCCGTGATAAATATGAAAATCCAATCTTTTATGCATGCTACTGGCTTATGTTATAACAATACATAGACATTTTTTACAGGTTAATCCGTTGACTTTTTCGTAAAAACCTCAGGTTTATCGGATTATAGAATTTTCGTTCGACCTATTTACGGTTTTTATGAGTTAATTCACCAAACATGGCACGCAGTGAGACCGCGCTCGTCTTACTGCGGGCCATGTTTGGTGGGGTGTCAATCATTCCATAGTTGGTTAACCACCACTCATGCGTGTAAAGGAGTTTTAAAGCGGTTTCGTATTTGCGAACAATGCACGCATTGATTTGGATAACTAGACTATTATGTTCCTAAGTAGATGGTTGTTGTTTGCATCGTGCTAAATTCGTGGTACATTTTATGCTGATTTTGTGTCCAGACTGCTTTGTAGGATTAGTTGACAAGTTGTTAGTGCCAGGTTCATAGAATTGTCTTTTTATCTTATCCTTAATTATTGGTCGCCATATGCGTTGTCTTGTTGAATTTTTGCTTTCGAATGCAGGTTTAAGTGTTATTGTGTTCCAGGAAATATGGGTTGTTTGCAGAAAGCCTTCCCCGTGGCTGGCCGTGGGTGTTTTTCTTGAATCTCATATTTTTGTATTGGTGGCGGGGCTTTCCACAATAATTTCGGAAATATTTTTTAGACTGTATTACCTATCACATCTTTAATCGTGTTCCCATGGATTTTGTAATTCTCCCCATTTCTGAATTAAATGTAAAGTAAATAATAAAGTGTAATGAATTGGGTGGTCAATGTGGAAACCTTAGAAATTTTTGATAAAGATTACCTGCTCTTATATCGTTAGATATCAGTAGCTATTTGTATAGAGCCTTGGGAGCTCCCGAAGTATGTGTACCAAGGTGGCGCACAACCTGAACATAGTATGTGTACCAGGTTAGGGTTAAGGTTGTGCGTCATCTAGGTACACATACTTCGGGAGTACCGGGCCTCGTTCGGAGCAGAAAGCATAAATAGGAGAGGTATTAATAAAGTGTGACAACGATAATTGTTAAAGGTTGTGGGCTTGTGGCTGTTTGGAGATATTTTGACGCAGAATTTCGAGAATTTATGGCAACGCTGCTGGAGGTGTAGGGAGTTTAGTACATCGGCTCGCTATACCTTGCCAACGCAAAGGTATGTACCGCATCTCATGCGGGTTGTTGGCATATTTCTAGCTAAGGTCGCTTAGATTTTCAAAAGGTTACGTCGTTGTCAAACTTTTTACGTTATGTTGAGGGCTTCTATTATGACGTCAACTTTTATTGTGACGTTGGGATTTTATATTATTACATCATACTGTATTTTGTATTAAGCGTCAAAGTTTTTTTGTAATACAGTATTGTTATTATGATGTTAGAATTACGACGTTGTGATTTTATATTATTACATCGTATTTAGTATTAAGACGACAAGTTTTTCGTAATACAGTAATATTGTTATTATGAACACTAAAACCGTATAATTGCATTTGTCTGAATTCTTATTATTAAGAGCAGTGATTCTCAAACTTTTTATGCCGCGCCACCTTATAAGAATTTGTTGGGTCTCGCGTCCCACCTCAAAAATAACTAGCTAACACAAATAACAGATAGTAAGGCGAAAGTATGTTTTATTAAAAAGAAACGTCGAAATACGTGGATAAAACGTGAATAATGAAATAAATTGAAAGTTTTGAAATATAAATACCCAAAATGAGGAGGGCAAGAACAAATCTAAATAATATTTTTATTAGGTTTCACGCCCCCCCCCCCAAAAAAAAAATTGTCTACGCCCCCTAGTGGGCGCGCCCCACCGTTTGAAAACCACTGCTTTAGAGTAAAAAAAGAAAAAAAGGCCAAGTAAAACCAAAATGACAGTTCGGGACGGTTTAGTATTGAAGCCTTTTGATTTATACTATACGCGGGCCTTGAAAGGGTGACATCATGTCAAACTCTTTATATTATGACAGTAAGAGTTTTTATTATCTCGTCAACGATTATACCGTCATGTTTTCGTATTATTACGTAAAGATTTGTATATTGTGACGTTATATTTGGTATTATTACGTATAGTTTTTGTATTTTAACTTCACGTTTTATTGATGTTTCTCCGAGCATCGATTTCCCTGTTTATTTCCGTAACAATTGCAAATCCGCAATAAGTTAACGATGACGTAACAATTATATTATCCCGCTCAGACACTTATTTTGCTCAGACAGATATTAGGGCGTGCTTGTAAACATTGCCTCGTTTTCGTGGTTTTGAGTTTTATTCGTCAGTTATTATCTATGTTTCCAAAAATAGTTGTAAATCGAATAACTTAATTGTAACTATGTCTTCCGAGGACCTTTAGTTCAGTCACAATAATCAAAAATTGATACCGCGAACGCTGCGATAGATTGGGCTAAAATTAGCTATCAATACCTATAAGCGCACGTAGTGTACTGTTTTGAATAAAAATGATAGTTTTCAACATGTGAGCCAGTTTGTAAGTGTCGACTCGCCAAAGCACTCTCAAAATCAGCGTTGAAAATTTTACAATGATAAAGTATAAGGAGATCTTTTAGGGGTCAAGGGTCGGGGAAACGTCCACACATCTATATTCCAATGGCCCCATTTCAATAGAATATTTAGAACTTATAAATATTTTCACTCGAATACGGTCAGCCAAGATTACGGAATCCTATAGGATAGGATTTACATATTTATCCCGGGGAGAATGAAGCCGATATAAAAGCTTAATCATATCACATCGTCCGGTTACCTGTCCATAACAGGTACGGGATTAGTAAGCCAGGTATTTGTTTTCGGGAGCATTAAACTAATGGTGGAGGAAGCCGCAACTGGCCAGCGGTTACGTGAACCACCCTACGGCAAAGAGTAGTCCATCAATCCTCTCGCACATAATTATCCCCGCATCGGATTCGAACCTGCGAACCCACGCAGGGTAATCAGAGATGAAATGGCGAGCATATTCCTAACGCTCAGCACGACGCGCCACACCGCAGCCTATGAAACGTAATAACAAACCTAATATTTCACAGAACATTAGATTAACTGTCTCATGGATCAAAACATATTATTCATCATTTTGTCGTGTTTTGTCGCCCAAGGTAAGGATTTGTTTTTCAACTTTGTCTAGTATTGAAGGTCTATGCTTGTTGTTTGTTTGTGAAACCGCTCTTATTGGTATTATTGTTCACCAGACCGGATTTACTCAAAATGTACCTACAACAAATTTACCAAAAAAACAAACATAATTTTCGCGGTTTCAATACTCTATTTGTCACAGTTATTTTTATAATACCTTTTTTTAATCACGAGTAACTGTGAATTTGGCCTATTTTGGGGACAAAAATAGATTGATGATCGAGTTTTATTTTTGTACACAAAGTGAAAAATCGTCTTTTTTGCAACTAATCAATTTCAAATTCTACAAACTTAGATGGAAAAAGTCAATGAAAAGCTGATACCTTTATTTATTTTTATTTTAAATTCTGAAAAATCTTGAAATGTTCTAGATTTCGGTATTTTATTGGGCACAAAGTGAATAACATATAAATATTTTTGTTTGCGTGGTTTTGTCAATAAAACCGGTTTTTTTCGCTAGTTTTAAACAATTAATTTTAAATTTTGAGCACTTAGAAGAAGTCGATAAAAAGCCTCTCTTATTTTATGTTAAACTCTGAATAAAAATCTTGAAATTTCCGCGATCTCGATACTTTCTTTGACACAAAACGCACATCTGAATATTTTTGCATATGTGTTTTATTGATAAAAACGCTTTTCACTTTAACTAAAGGAACAATCGTTCACAAATTTTCAGACCTTAAGATGGTAAAAGCCGCTGGAAGGCGATTTCTTTCATTCTTCAAAGTTTTTCCAAATCTTATGGGACCCGATATTTCCCACAAAATTTTGCTGTTTTATTTCAATTCATGAGAACACCTAAATGACAAGACAGGGTTAAAGTTGAAGTTTAATTCCGTATACGTCATCCCATTTCGATTATTCGCAAACAATTCATTACATTTGAAACCTTTTGTTTAGGTCTGTCTTTGAAATGCATGACCCCGGACGATGCTCGATATCTGACTACTGATCAAAGTATTCCCGCTAGATGGAAGGAGAGAGGCAGGTGGCACACTGGAGATTTCTTTCCTTCGCCACGTGAGTTAATTACTTATCGATCTTTAGATCGGTAAGTATGTTGATAGGTATTTGTCTGTCTGTTAGATGCACGCGATATCTCACGAAGGCGTGGTTGAATCTGCTCCGAATGCATGTGCATTCATCATATCTCGGACCAGAAGCTTGTTGATTTTGGTTGAATTATGTCGTATAATTAGCGAGTTATTAATTAATTAGTGATGGGACACGCGGTGTCATTATAACCGCAGTTTCGACCGATAAGTCTTCGGTCTCCAACCGATATTCTCGTTTTATTGTTACAACCTTCCACGATACCGTGGTTTTCAGGAACCTTTCACTCTACCGATACCGTGTTTTTTTTTTTCAAATTCTACTCAAAGCCAGCCCACGCCCACTAACTCGGATATAAAGGAAGATTGGTCTCGGGGTGGGGTCACGAGAATCCACTAAAGCAAGGGTTCTTAAACTTTATTGGGCGTGGGCCAAAATTAGAATTGGTAAGATGTTCACGGGCCGGAAGAGTGTAGCGCCCGAAAGTACGCGACGGTTTAGCTGGGGTTCTGTGGATTAACTTTCATTTGACATTTTTTTGAAACATGTTTGTTGGACTTATAATGGGTCTTAATGTCGTATTCCTTTGAATCTGAAATAGTTCGTTGACAAAGAAAACAAATCGCTGAAATTATGTTTTTTTTCAACGCAGAAATACGAACGCTGACATTTGTTCATACAACGTTTGTTTTTAGAGTTCTAATTTCATTTGCTTTTTGACGCCTCTAAGCTTTCTTATGTGACTGACATATAAATTTCTTTCCTATGTAATTCTAATACCGGTACGTATAATTGAGATACCGGTATTATTACTTATCGATCTTAAGATCGGTAAGTATGTTGATAGGTATTTGTCTGTCTGTTTGTCTGTTAGATGAACGCGATATCTCAAGAAGGCGAGGCTGAATCTGTTCCAAATTTTGCATGTGCATTTATCATATCTCGGACCAGAAGCCTATTGATTTGAATTATGTCGTATAATTAGCGAGTTATTAATTAATTAGTGATGGGACACGCGGTGTCATTATAGAGTCATGATTTGAAACGCAGTTTCGATCGATAAGTCTTCGGTCTCTGACCGATATTCCCGTTAAATTGTTACGATGAAAACTAGCTTAAACTGTGATGATGTCATAGCAATTGACAGTATCGCAAAAAGCTAAAAACCAAATCTGTTGAACGCCATTTCACTTTAAGCTTGGCGGGCCATTATAAATCGTTATGCAGACCGGAGTTGGCCCGCGGGCCGCGGTTTGGGAACCCCTGCACTAAAGTGTCAAAAGTTACTGAAACTATATAGAATCATAAGATGGAATTGGTGGTCCATTGACGGTCGCCATGGTCCATAAAATACGGTACTTCTCTGAAGACTCGAGCATATAGAGTCTCGCATATAGAGTAGACGTTACCTCGAAACTCCGGTGAACCGTTAAAACTTTCGTCTCTACTTTTCAACCATTTAACCGTTTGTAATCGTTTCAGACAACAGCTGGGAATTTTCAAAAACTTCTGTGCTGCATCTGACGTCAGAGGAAAATGGTGCGAAAATGTGGTGGCTGAAGGACAAGCTGAATGATTACTACATGCTTGTGACGAAAGATTTGTCAAAGTGAGTGGGAGGGGAATTCCCCTGTTTTATTTACATTCCGACCTGGTTAGGTATCGCTCTCCATACGCCATAGCTCATGTTTTTACTTATTGGTTACGAAATGTATCTTTTTGTTATTATGTTGTTGTTACTTATCGATTTTTAATCGGTAAGTATGTTGATAGGTATTTGTCTGTCTGTCTGTCTGTCTGTTAGATGCACGCGATATCTCACGAAAGCGAGATTAAATCTGCTCCAGATTTTGCATGTGCATTCATCATATCTCGGACCAGAAGCCTATTGATTTTATGTCGTATAATTAGCGAGTTATTAATTAATTTGTGATGGGACACAAGGTATCACTATGGAGTAAGAGCGCTGTTTTGGGGGATCCCCTAACTTTCGATCAATAAGTCTTCGGTCTCTGACCGTTATTCTCGTTTTGTTTTCATTTCTAGCATTATAAAAATCGTTTTTCTCATTTACTATTGGACCAATTACTTTGAAATATTAGAGGTTAAAGATTGTTGTTGTCGCTAGAAGACTATTGCTTTTTTTATTTCAAAAATTTCTGTGAGATTCGATTTCTTGTTTGTGTGACGTCATCAAAAATGCGCACCCTGTGGCGATTCCGTGCTCGCGAAAGTCGTGAAGTCTGCGGTACTGGTAATGTGACTGATTGCATACTCGTACTACTTCGTTTCGGCTTTCGTGTCCATATATTTGAGCATCGTTATCTTGTTTTTCACAGCATGCTCTGCACTCTGATGGGGGCGGGGCTTCAAATAGCCTGGGCACCAGTAAACGACGAAACAAGATTCAGCGGGTATTGCCATTGGATAATCAACGTAGACCCTGATGACCCAGCGAGATTTCAAATGCGGAACGCGGAACTCAAACTTTCGGTAAGAATACTGATATTTGGCTCTCAATGTAGGGTAGTTGTTCGTAATTATGCATGTGTTTTATGAATTACCCAGTTGCTCGCACATAGGTGCTTGAATTATTTTTTTTTTTTGTTTCTCCGGGTATCGGGTGTCTCTTAGGAATTCAGGTCGCGTCTATTCCTATTTTTTTTTTATATTCTTTCAATCATTGTTTGACTTTTCATTGTATTTTAATCACTTTTATCACGGATGTCGCGACTATTTTCACCTCGAGTTATCCGTTTTTGCTCCTTTTTACATTCTGTATTCTTTAAGTTTATTGGGCACGTTTAGTGGACATAACGATCGTTTTGTTTTTATGTTGTTCTTGTTGTTCTTTGACACTTTTTGGACATCTAGTGGAAATATTAAAAAAACGCTTTTCTCTTTGATCACTGGACCACTTGCTTTGAAATTTTTAGTGGTTAAAGACGAAATTTTTCTCCAGAAGGCTATTACTTTTATTCATTTTAAATATTTCTGTTAGCTCTGTGAGATTTGTTTTGTTTGCTATGACGTCACCGTTCTGCGGACATCGGACGCCATTTTGTGTCCTACTGTACTGCTTCGCTTGGTGTGAAGACATTTGTGGACTGTGATCTGGCGGTACGGTAAACCGTACTGTAAGCGAACAGACGTGTCCATATATTGGGCGTAGCTCTCTTGTTGGACACGTTTAGTAGCCATAACGATCGTTTCAAAATTTTGTTGTTATTGTTATTTGTCTCCGTCTCCATTTTTGAAAAATCGCTTTTCTCTTCGAATACTGAACCAATTGCTTTGATATTTTCAGTGGTTAAAAATAAAATTTTTCTCCAGAAGGCTATTACTTTTTTTTCTCGCTATGGCGTCATCAAAATTATTGCCACTGAGTGGCGCTACGTGTCCATATATTTGGGCGTAGCTCTCTTGTTTCATGTATGGGTAAAAAATAAATTACTGATTACTGTGAAATATATAACATTTGCTAAGCATTTTGAGTCCAATTATGTGCGAGAGGATTGCTGGACTCCTATCCGTACCTAGCGATTAAATACTCACGCAAAACAATACCAGCATACAAGAATTTAATTTGCATACGATAAATTTTTCATATTCAACCTGGGAGATCCGAGGCGGTAAAATGGTCTAAGCCAGCGGTTGGTATATTATGATTCCATGTTTATCTTTGGGAGAGGAAAATAGATACGACGGTTCAACCTATGTCGGGCATGGGATCCTTCTTTCCTTAAAATCATAACATAAGAATGGTAACTGGACAATAGACCGCGGTTAATTATATGTTTAAGCCGGGTTGGTGGTGTTCGGAGTCGTTTTTTATTTTGATGAATCGAGCGACTGCTGGTTAGAGCCTCGAGATATTTTGTGTTTCTTTTTCATTAACCTATACTTAGTTCGACTTTTTCTTCTTGATAATTTCGTGTTAGACTTATTTTATGGGTGCCGCTGTTCAATAACCAGTATTGGTTTCTCGCGTCTCCTTCACCCTAAAATATGGCCTTTTTATAATTTATTGCAATTTGTAAGTTTGGTGAAAAATAAACTACTTATTACTATCGGCTTTCCTTTCCCTGGGATAAATATTCTAAAGATTAAAATGTGCTTTTCACTTCTCAGCTTGGCGATATCGGTGCCGTGTTCCTAAATCGCTCTGGTTTGTACTTCGACTACGCCACCAATGAGGTCAACGATCCCGCGAATCACGTCGATGAAAGTATGACGTGGTGGAAATGGCGTCATGAAGGACTTGAATTAGAGGATATGACGTCACTGCCTGATAAATGCGAAACAAGTATGTATAAATAATATATACACAGCGCTTCTTGTGCGAGACTCTAAATATGGCTACGCCTAGTTGCCTGGTGTTTTGAGATAATTTATTCGGACCTCCGGAGGTATGCGCACCAAGATGGCGTACAACTTGAACTCAGGTTGTGTACCGGGTTAGGGTTCAGGTTATGCGACATTTTGGTGCGCATACTTCAGGAGAACCATTTATTCATTTCGAACGGCGGTTCCCGACCTTACGCCCGTGACCCTGAAGTGGGTCACAGAGCAGTGGGGGTGGGCCCACAATGCTGGGCGCAAAAATGATTTCACTTTACAAGAATACTCCCCGTTCTTCCCATTTTCATTGCTTGATAAGTTTATTTCACAAGATGTTTACCTGTTATTGAGCATGATTTTTTTTTATAGGCTCTTGCACATTAAAAATAGATATCCGTGGTTCTATTTGATTTATCCCAAGCGAAAAAAAAACGTATGAACAATTTTCAACATTAGGCCTCTTGCGTAACGCGACCCAGCAGACCTTGAAGTTTCCTTTTGTGCCTCATGTCAGATTTAGTTATGATTAACGTTGTACCGTGAATTTTGCTCAGAATTGACGATTTTGCATGATTTGACTGTATTTTCAATAATTTAACAATGTATATAATTAGTATAAATACTTATGCGTATACTTATTATGATTCGGGTACAATGATGACGGTAATAATTTCATGTGTTGTTGTTGTAACGATTTGAGATTCAACCCCATGCCCACCAAATTGTGCAGCCAGTCCGGAATAATCCTCTGTCAACACGGGTTAAAGATCCACGATTTAAACCCCGTGCCCGTCAACACACTCAGGTGGTAATAAATTCTAGATGCGCAATTCTGAACAATGCACAATCACGTTTTTTAATAGGGTATCTTTTTGATTTAGATGAAATAGGAGTCCCGCTGTTCATGGCCGAGGAGGAAAGCCCACTCGGAAGATCTCTAGGCGGAAGAAGGCGGAAGAGGGGGTCAAGGTTCAAGTTCCTGACAAGTAGTAAGTCAAGAGAATTATATCTTTATATCGGTCGTCATGAGAATATTCTGATAAAATGATGAAAACATACAGGGTGTCCATAAAGTCCATTTTCAATTTCAATTTTGTTATGAAGTCAGTTCTCAGTATATCTTAACCAGGTTTATGTTTTCTGATCAGTAATTGTTCAAATAAATTTACTTCATTTAATACATCTGCGAGCGCCACAACAATATATGGTATCGATAAATTTCCTTTGCAATTTTGAAAAAATTAACTTTATGGTTGTCCCGCCGTCCCGGTTATACAGTATGACCGTTATAAATATTTTCGGGGGAAACGATTTACCTGCCACTCATTTACAACTCACTTCACTAGTTCATATAGAGAGTGAAATTGTTATGTCATAGTTATGATATGGAGTATGAACCATGCGTTAATTTAACACCCAGTACTGTCGTTAAATCATAAAATGCCGAAAACAAAGTGCAAGTTTCTAATGAGTTGGAAGTAAGATTTCCATTATTTGAACCAAATTACGATAGAGGATATTTTGAATATTTATAGGATTTACAGTAAATTTTGATGGCAGTAAATTAACCCGCAATGGTACGAAAATGTTAAACTCTTGCTAAGCCTCGAGACCAAACCAGAGTTGTCTTGCTCAGTTCATACTGTCCAGGTGCTTCAGATATATGGTGGGCCTTGTGAAGTGTAAATAAAATACCTGGTAAGTTGTCGCGAATCATCCCTGGGTGACCGTGCCGTGCCCAATGCTCGGGTATATGGCTTGATGTGGCTTCTTTGTTAATTCACTTCCATTATCTCCGATTCCCGTTTTTGATTTTTCGCCTTTAACGGGTTTTGAGCCGAGTTTCATTTAATCGTGTTGTTTAGCAATTTTGCACTGTTTCGCTGCCACGCCCTGGTTTATCTTCACGACAAGGATTTCAGTAAAAAGCGGTTTGGACGAAGCTTGGAAAATTTAATGTCAAAATTAGCAGGAGAACTAAGTGAAATTGAATAACAAAAAAATAATTATTTAAAAAATTAATTCAGTCAACGGGAGAGACCAATTACAAGTTCAATGTAAAGGTTGTCCCGGTGCGATATACTCGCCATATCGTACTGTATTTTTTTTTTAAGTTTGCCTCGTGTGACGAGAATTACTCGGAGGCCTAAGGGGACACATATGACTCCCTCCCTCCACAAACCATCCGTGTGGTAGTGGTTCCAAGCTATGCACACCGCATACCAGACTGATTTTTTATTCCATCTTTCAGCAAAGTTCGCGTCATGTGATGAGGATCGCTGGTGGCTTCACAACAAGAAATGTTATCGAATCTACGTCGCTCCTAACCTTGATCACTACACAACGACTAATGTCTGCCGAGTATTGAAAGGAAGAGTTGTGCAGCCCAAGTGAGTATTTGGTTGTATTAAAACGTAATGGGATTTTTTTTATTTCTGTTAAACGACAAAAGATCGAAATTTAGAACTCTCTGTTTAATTGTATAATTAGCAAAAACCCATAACCATAGTTAACCTGATAACCCACAAACAAAACTGAGCATCCGGCTCCAGAAAGCACATAGCACAGCTGGTTGGTCACGATTAGTCATCTGTAACTGATGACATCACTGATCATATTCAGTTATTTGTAACGGATAACATCACGGATCATATTCAGTCATCTGTAACTGATGACATCACTGATCATATTCAGTCATCTGTAACTGATGACATCACTCTTCATAGTCAGTCATCTGTAACTGATTTTGCCTGAATAAAGAGTGTTGCCAAATTAAATTGTTATACACGTTCGGCGGGCCATATTAAATCGTTACGGGGGGCCGTAATTGGCCCGCGGTCTGTTGTTCTGGGGAGAACAAATCGTCCTGGATTACTAACACGTTCGGGCACAATCATACACAAACAGAAGTGTTAAATAAATTTTATTCATTTTCGTAGGAGTAATCAAGAAATTTATGGGTTATGTTTTTTGTCAAGCTTTACAATATAATGATTAAACTACAATTCTCTTCCAGGAGCGCCTCCGACAACAACTTCGTTCGAGCTTTGATCAAGAATTTCGCTCGCGGAAAAGGGATGTATTGGCTCGGTGCAACAGCGCCACCTATCCGATCAAGAAACTTGAAAGCAGATTTCAGTGATGGACTCGGAAATATGCGGTACACTAGGTGGCACCCTAAATCTAGATTTTTGTAAGTACTTTTTGCTCCTAATCTATTTGTGAAAATGGGAGAAAAAATTGTTCTCGTGGGAGTAGGGTCATAAAAAAACAAGAGAACTATGCTCAAATATATGGACACGTCACAAGGTGTCGCTACTTTCTATTCTGACACATGAAAAACGAATCTCTTGAAGTCCACAGAAATTTTTGAAATAAGTAAAAGTAATAGCTTACTGACAAAAATATCAATCTTTAACCACTGGAAATTTCAAAGCAATTGGTCCAGTAATCAAAGAGAAAAGCGACTTTTTATAAACTTGTTAAAGAACAAGAACAACAACGACATGATATTGAAACGATCGTTATGTCCAATAATCCGCTTGTTGGACAAAATTTTCAACTCTTGGAAGTAGGAAGTGACAAGAAGGCTTAAAGATAAAAGTCGCTAGAGATGACAATGGCAAACTGCGGCCCGCGGGCCAAATCCGACCTGTTGGGTTATTCAATCTGGCCCGCCTGATACCTCCACAACCAAATTAAACTCAAATTTTGATGTTTTAGCTAAAAAATAGCTCAATGAATTTGTTGGGATTAGTTAGTTTTGGCACGAGGCTTATTGTTTTTCACTTCTGCTTTTGTAACACTGTAAATATTATGCATAAAATGTAACTTTTTACGTCACACTTACATGGCCCGCCAATCTAGGTGGGCAAAATTTTTGGCCCCTGGTTTAAAATCCCTGCCTACCCCTGCGCTAGAGAGATAGACCAGTGGTTTCCAGCAATTTTTTCAAGCGACCAAATTTTTTATTGAATAAATTTTATAAAATCTCGCCACCCAAGGACAGGCTCAAGTACTAAACGACATGTAGTACTTTTAAGGACGCAAAATTAACAACTGATAAGAAACAAACAGAAAAAACCCTAACGTGAGAAGGCAGCGCTTGTTTACAATCGGCGAGTTGCCATTAGCGAGATTTTTAAATGGTGACGTGGCTTTACTTAGCAAGATGGATGCTGCAAAGTTTTTACGCTGTGATACTTCCCACTTACACAATTACTATTGAGCAACACTTCAATACCAAATATAAAATGAACAATAAAATTTACTAGAAATTAAAATTATTAACTTTTGGGTTTTTGTTGCGATCCATGAAACGGAAAGCGACCCAGTTTTGGGTCTCGACCCATAGGTTGGGGAACACTGAGATAGACAATAAGTTTTTTTTATCATGCGAGTAATCACAAAAATTATTCTACATTACAATGCAGGATTTCATCGCAATTGACGGAAAGTCACGAAAAATCAAACCCGGTCATCCCAGGTCTGCGACACTTAGATTTAAAACGAGTAATATTTATAATGTTCCCCCCACGTCATAAAACAGTGTTCCCCACTGATTATATCCCTTCTTAATTGCAGGCCCTCCCACAGATGCGTCGTCATATCCAATGGATTCTGGAATTCAACGACTTGCAACCAGACAGCCGGCAGAGTCATTTGCGAAAGAGGTAAAAGTAGCGCCTAGAAAATATTTGATTTAGCAAAAAACATTTCATCAAGTTGACGATCTACTAACGAAGTAGCGTCGGCTTCTCCAAAAGCCGAGTGTTTTTGCTAATTTATGTGACTGAATACGACAACAGTTATACAGATACCCCACCTAATTATAGGAATGAACAAAATCAAAATACAACGCTATTCAGTCGATGCTCGTTTGAATTTTGGTCCGAAGTTTCACGGTGTATGCTCGTTTAAATTTTCGTCCGAAGTTTCATGGTGTAGGCTCGATTGAAGTATAAGCTCCATAAGTATAAGTTTATTTCGACATAATCAGCATGAAAGACAAAAATATTTGATGAAAATAAATAATAAAAAAACTGAATATTACAGAATCATGAAAGCAAGCAAAACCTTCAGTAAATTTTATAGCGTACATACTTTGAGATGGAAAGGTTTTGTCAAAAGAAGTGGTCCGAAAAAATATTATTAATCCACATAATCACGCGCACACACACCCACATATATGTAAAAAAAAAAACAAGAACAATATTTTTAACTTTGTGAAACAAATTTTGCAATTCGTGCCAGACAAGTCCATCCTTGTGCTCAAATCTTTTCTATTTCAGATGCTGTCGTGAGAGAACTCCCAAAATCTTCAACATGCGGAAAGATACAAGAACGAGGAGTCGATGTAAGTTGATGTCAATCGTTTAATTTATTAAACCTGGTGGTTGCTATAATTACCAATGAGGGTTACCATGGTTACCAAATGGGCAAGTGCAGTTTTAAGCACCTTTTGGCGTCTGAAGCTAGCGCAAAACAATGGCGGGATTTCCAAACCATGGTCGCTATGATCAAACCACGGTGGCTGACTTTTTGACTGCCACAAACAAACAGCGTGAGGCGGGGTACCAGTGCAGCAAATTTAAAACAATGACGGGTAAAATTGTGCCGCCACAAACCCTGATAGTGACACACTTTGTGGGTAAGTTAGAACATTTTCCTTATATATATAATACAGTTTTGATGGATTTTGGGTTAGGTTTCAGGTTTAAGGAGATATAATTTCGCATGATACACTAAAATCTGGTACAGAACTTTGTGAATATCCCGGTAATAGCACTATAAAACCATGGCAAATGACACCACGGTTTGTTCGAGGCAAAAACCGTCATTGAGTAGTAAGAAATGCGCCTTCAATTGGGGACCTACGTCCATAGAAGAGTTTTGAACAGTCGTAGGATTGAGGGCACAAAGCGCAACAAAAACGTTCTTGTTTTTGTTTTGCCTTATGGTCGTAAAATAGGCCAATTGATATGTCTGTCAGATTGACATTTTGTGCAAAAATATTGCCAAGCCATAGAATCAGATTTCCATTCTCACATTAATATTGAACACTGTTTATTCCAGGCAGTGATGGCTGCACAGGCCGGAGTGGGGACCGTCAGAATCGTTGGGGGAGATGACGCTTATGCAACGCAGTTCCCGTGGCAGGTGAGACTAAACCCGTAATTGGAGGATTTGAATGTAGTCATTTTACACCAGAAACATTATTTGGCGCTCCCGAAGTGTGTGCACCAAGATGGCGCACAACCTGAACCCTAACCTTGTGCACATACTATGTTCAGTTTGTGCGCCATCTTGGTGCACATATTCTGAAGCTTCCATTATGTTGCCAGAGGCGTTATTTTGTCTGAAAGGTGGCATCATGTGATAAAGGTGGCATTTTGTCACAAGACTAACATTTTGTGCCACCAAACGATTGGTATTGTATGCGCTGGTACCATTTTGTGTCAAATATGGCATTTTGTTTTCTGAGTGATATATTGTACCAAGCTTATTTTCTGGAGTCAACGTTATGTGTTACTGGCAGCATTTTGTGTCGAGTGTGGCATTTTGTGTCAAGAATGGCATTTGTGCTCAGTGCGGCATTTTATGTCCTTAGTTAGATATTTTGCAACGGTTATTTTCTAGCGTCAACGTTGCCTAATATGTCACTACTCACCGGTGGCATTTTATGTCGAGTATGACACTTTGAGTCAAGGGTGGCATTTGTGCCAAGTGCGGTATTTTGTGTTTAATAATATAAATTTGTTTTCCAGGCAGCAATTCGTTTCAGACACCCGATAAGAGTGAGAGGCTACAAGGGAAGAGTCTATCACAATTGCGGGGGCGCGCTCATTGATTCTTGTTGGGTTCTGAGTGCTGCCCATTGCTTCTATGACAGGTAATACTTACAATGACGTTATCGGTGACGTATGTACTTTGACGTCATCTTTATTATCTAATTCAGTTTTTCTGTTCAATAGCAAATTTATATCATCTTGCGATATTCTGCCATTGTTCCAAATTTCTAGGAAATTATTTTCCCTAATCCTATGTTTATCTGAGGTTAAAACAAGTTATAAATAGGAATACGCTTGCCACTCTTATTACCCAATGCGGGTTCGCAGGTTAGACTCATGTGCTGGTTAAATATGTGCTAGAGAATTTCTGAATTCCTAGCCGCAGTAGATGGTTAACAGCAGTTACGTCTTCAAATAACTAGCTAACTAATCCCATACCTGACAAGGAATAGTAATCGGACGAGAAGCCGTGGTTCGCCAAATACTTAAGCTGTCTTATCAACTTCCCTCCTCAAGATAAATATGAAAATCCTATCCTTACAGCAATCCGAAGACCTACATCGTCCGTTTGGGGGATTTGAACAACAATAGAGTCGACGGTACCGAGCAAGAGTTTGATCCGCAGGAAATAATCGTTCACGAGGACTACACCGACATTCCCTCACATAGGCAGGATATCGCTCTGATTAAACTAAAGAAAAAGAATGGACGGTGTGCTAGGTGAGTACTATTTTAACGTTTCTAATGCTTTGCGCTCCGAGCAAAGATTTGTACAAGCGCTTACCGATTTGAAAACGGACGACCATGAGTATATTTCGTAAACCACTCATATCATTACTCCTAGTTGTCCTGGCACAACCATTTTTGCATATGTTATTCCTAACCCCAACCTGGCTACCCCATCCGAGAATTACGTCACTACGACGTCACAATCACGTCATAGAGCTTGCCAATGAAAAGCTACGGTCGCCCGGAATGGCATAAACGCCAGCGATCTCTCTCATATCGGGATTGCTTGATTTTGAGTGATCGTCTGCGCGTTTTGGACGACAATCCGTGTACTTTGACTGGCCTTTTTTTCGTCACTGTGACGTTGTAGTGACGTAATTTTTGGAACCGACTGGAAAACCGTAATATCATAGTTACTTCACAATGATATCATTTTGAGGTACCTATAAGAATATCTCCTGTTCGACGTTGCCAATATAAAAATACATCTTGGCCTCTCAAGGTTATCTCTAACAGATTTGAGCATTTTATGTCAGATTCAAACCTCACTAATTTTTTTTTTATAATGGATTGATATTTTGCGACGCGGTTTTGGGAAAATTCGCCGCAGAAAATCTCGCCGTAAGAAATCTCGCCGCAGGAAATTTCGCCGCTTAAGAAAAATGGCCGCATAAAAATGTCTGCAAGAGATTTTTGCTGTAAAACAAATATTTGTGATGAAAACAGTTAGGTTTTGGAAGTACCTTTTTATTCAAAAAAGATTCGTTGTTTAGGAACATACCCTAACCCTATGCGCGAATTTTCCGGACACGTTGCGACGCCAAAGTTATCTCACGTTGTGATCATATCCAAAACGATCTATAGGTCCATTTTGTGTCCAACAAGTAATCCATTATATAAGAAATGTAATTTTTAATAGTGAAATTCATTTTATTTATCAGATATACTCGCCAAGTTCAACCGGTCTGTCTCCCAACGATTGAGTTTGATATTCCGGAAGATGGCGCTATGTGTCAAGTAAGCGGGTGGGGAGTAACGGATACAAGTAAAGGACAAGGATGTGAGTACTGTTACGTCTAGTTTATTATATTTCAATATGGGAATCCCCCTCCCTAATAAAATTTATATAACGCTTTCCCAACATAAATGAACAACATTCAGACATGTTTAAAAACGTGGATACGAAAGTTAAAAGCCATACAAATACGAAATATCTATCCAATTCAAGAGTCCTGCTGCAGACTAACACAAATGTATTGGTACTCCTGTAGTATGCGAACCAAGATGGCGGACACCGGAGCGTCGTATGTGTACCAGGTCACGATTAGGCCATAATTTTATTCCAATTTTCTTTATATTAGCTCTATTACGAGTTCGGAGACTAGCCAAGTGACTCCTTTAGTATTTGTAATTGAAATTGGGGCTTAACCCCTAACCTGGTACACATACTACGTTCCTGTGTCCGCCGTGTTGATTCACATACTACAGGACTACCAATGTATTTCTGTGACATTTCGTATTTCCGTAACGTTTCGTCCAACCAAAGTCAGACTTCCTCAGACGAGCAGGTTACGACAATAGGTTGACGAAGCGTTACAAAGATACATTTGTGTTAGTGCGAAGCATGATTCTTTATTTGCATAGTATGTTTATGTTTATTCTAGCTACAGCATCCTTGTTGTATACGCATACGGATCTACTAGGATAAAAGCATAATTAGAGGAAAGATAGGGAGTTAGTATTGCTCATAAAGTGTTCCCATAATTTAAATTGAAACAGCCAACTATCGGTGAAATATTGCTCCCACAGAACTCAAAAAGGTAAAACGAGTGCGTTGCTCAAATATATGGACAGGAAGTCTAAAACGTACCGCAAACTTTGCAACTAACGCAAATGTAGCCGATACAATTGGGTGACGTAATCGCGTAAAGCCACAGAAATTTTTGAAATAAATAAAAGTAATAGCTTTCTAGCAAGAAGCGAAAAATACAGTTCTTAACCACTGAAAATTTCAAAGCATTGGTCCTGTAGTAAATGAAAAATGCAATTTATTTTTTCACAACAAAAGAGCAGTAAAAAAAAGTGAATTCTAACAACATGATAATCAACAACATAATAATAACAAAACTATCCATGATTACACTGTCCAATAATAGTCTTAAGCGATTTCTCCCATCCTTAAATATACCAACTTGTAAATGCCCAACAGCAACAACAACAACAACTATTTAGCAACAAGATCACTGACACGAAAACCCGGGTAAAATTCCTAGTTTTCTGTCATCTTATTCGTATCTTATGTTTCATTCGTATTGTATATTTTATTCTTACTTATCTCATATTTTATTTTATTCTTAGCGTATATTTCATTATTAGCCGGGCAAACTTCCTAGTTCATTCTTATTTTATCTTTTTCCTTATCAGCTGCCGCCGAAGTTCTGCAATGGATCAGCGTTCCAACAATGCGTGATGATATTTGTTCGATCAAATACAACAAACCTGATAAATCGGTCTATTTCTTACGTGACGTCATGTTTTGTGCAGGATATAAGGTATGTTTGTAATCACTGATCCGGTGGGGGCAATATAGAGCAGTGTTCCTCAAAACAAATTTTATCACGACCCCTTGACACGTTCAAATATTTGGCGCCCCAGAAGTGTGTGTACCAATATGGGGGTAACCTACTTTACATCAAGTTGTGTAAAAGGAATGAAACCTGTGGACAGGGGGTATACTCACTTGGCTAACACATACAGTCCCCGAACTCGTAATAGAACTAAAATCGGATCTAAAATCCCCCCCTGTTTCCATGAGAGAAACCTTGGCGCTCCGCGAGCTATTCGTTTACTTATTAAATTACTCACTTGGCTAATTTTGTAACTGTCCAGAGAAGCAATAACGACAATAATAAAATTTGACAGCGGTAACGTCAAAATGTGGCAACGAGGCGGTAATACAAATATGACATTATTTCATGTCGTATTTCAGTTACCGCCCTGTTGCCCCATTTCGACACTATTTTATTAATATTTTTGTCAAGCGTAAAATTTACATCGTTAATATAATTTATCTGTGAAATTGGGTTTATTTCTAGCCCATATCAATTAATTTAGTATTTTGATTCTTTTTCAATTTTTCATTCTATGTATACAAAAAATTAATTGCGGGGCTCCGTAAATAATAGTTAAACTTGAGAACATAATATATACTGGACGGGGGTGGGCATTGTATACTCATTCGAAAAACCATTGGCAATGGGAACATTGAACTAAGACCAAATTTGCTATATTCCTATGTCGTTAATAATTATCATTTTTTTAGACTGGAGGAAAAGATTCGTGTTCGGGAGATTCTGGAGGACCATATGTTTGCAGAGGAAGTGATGGGAGATATGCGGTTGCAGGAATAGTCAGCTTCGGTAAGTACGGAACTCGTTTCTGGTCATTTGTAACATGTTCCAGAAAGAACATAACTTTTGTGCAAATCGTCATACATTACTTGAACTTTTGGATACAATTATACACAAACAGAAGTTCAAGTGTCATCATTTATCGGTAATCCTGTAGTATGTGAACTAAAATGGCGGACAGCGGAACGTAGTATGTGTACCAGGTTAGGGTTATGGCATAATTTTATTCCAATTTTCCTTATTATAGTTCTATTACGAGTTCGGGGACTAGCCAAGTGACTCCCGTAGTATTTGTACCTAAAATTATGGCCTAACCCTAACCTGGTACACATACTACGTTCTGGTGTCCACCATCTTGGTTCACATACTTCGGGAGTACCCATTTATCAACACTCTGACTCAACTAAATGTCAGTTAGACTTATATCAGTAATTCGACTCGACTTCGGAATCGTGTCTGTTCTCGACCGTGTCCGGAAAATTCACCGTAGGAAATTTCGCCGCATAGGATAAATCGCAAGAAAATCTTGCTGTAAAACAAGTATTTGTGATTAAAACAGTTAGCTTTATTGGGTTACCGTTAGGGTATGCTCCTAAATAACAAATCTTTTTTAAATAGGGGCGATTTTTCATACTGTGTTTTTCACCATGCCGCGAATTTTCTTTTCCTACAGCCGTTTTAGACTATTGGCGCCTTTGCCAACGGTCAGAAACGCACTCGCCACTTGCTCTGGTTAACAGGCTTGCTCTGCGCGTGAAGATGGCTGGACTCGCCTCCGCCGTCTGGTGGTTTGCGTAATCGTAGGTTGAATACGGCTTATTTCAACTTTGCAAGTCCATGCGCCTGTAACAAATTTACCATTAAGCTATTCCCATACTAGACATGGACTGGTGACCGGACGAGCGATCGTGGTTCACCTTATATGACCAAGTCGTTTAGTCCAGTGTTACCCAACCTATGGGTCGCGACCTAAAGGTGTGTCGCCCGAAAATCCCATGTGGCGTTTGTTTTTCAATGAAATTTTATTCATTCATCACATTTTCTAGTAAATTTTTTCAAATAACTTTCATTTGGTATTGAAGTGTACGTGGTAAGTATCAAAATGTAAAAATCTAATTAAAGCCACGTCACAATTCAAATACTCGATCGCCACATCATTTCTGCATTCGCCTATTTTGGAACCCTTTATTTCTGATCAAGAGTTCATTAGTCTGTATTAGTGAACTGTGTGGTGTGGCTATCCCACAAAATACAAATAATATTTGTGTGTATACTCTCGTCATATATATACTCTAAACAAATTTATCAAATTCACTATGATTTAAAAATGAAACCAGCATTTAAGCAGCATGTGCCACTTTATTACACCCACCCAAGTATGCTTGGTGTGTGATTGGTCTCTCACTGTTCATAAAAACTACTCTATTCATCGAATATTCAATGGTTCTTTAGCTAGTGATATGCGCATCTCGCTTTTGTACAGACCATAATGTTGACATGGATAAGCATCATAGTATTAATAAAGAACCAAAGAATATTAGTAATACCACAACAATTACAAGTCAAAATTCCGCTCCAAGAAAGACAAATATTCTCCCCAGATGAGAAACGTGGCTTTAAACAATGTTAAAATCTTTTTTCATAGGCATTGGATGTGCCCGTAAGAGCTATCCTGGAGTCTACACCCGTGTGAGACAATTCTTACCCTGGATTAACGAGAAGATCAGTGAAAGAGGGGGCTAGATGACGTCACATGGGGATGACGTCAGAAACAAAAATCTGAACTATTTCGAAAAAGAAACTTTCTTCAAAGTCGTCGTCTACTCTGAGTAGATTTTATGACGCCACAGTTACTGCATTGTTGTAAATAGTTTTGTCGTCTGCTACATGTTCCATGATTTGTATTTTTGATAAAAGGTTTTTGAGAATCATAATTCTTGTTTAATCCGATAGCCTAGTGCATCTGTTCCCTATCAGGGGGCCCATGACCGCCCAAGGGGGTCACAGAGCAGTTGGAGGGCCAAAAATATTTTTGATGGAATTCCGTTTGTATACTTTTCCCTTATAATAAAATTACATGTTCTTTATCGTTTCATAGTATAAATATCACGTGAATGATGAACACAGGCCATGCGTGCTAAAAGTTGCAGGCACCGTACCGTCGTTCTATTAGTATTCTTCATTTCTTTCTTATTAACGTCGTAGTACGGTGTGCTATATATGCTTCTTTAGTTCTTCAAATACAGTATCACAGTTTTGAGTTCTCAATATTTATTAGGGGCAGTCTAATATAAATAACAAATAAAGTCAACTCTGTCTTAACTCATTCGGTCTTCAGTTTCTTCCCCCTTTTCTCATCCTGGTTCATCGTCTTATATATTCGACAGAACAGATGTTGTGTCATAATGGTCAAATCGTTACCACTCTTGATGTTGTCGCATCATCTGTTCAGTCGATTTAATTAAGGTTGACACTACAGGCTCCGCAGTTGGGTTTCTCATTATTCTGATTTTGGGTGAGAATGGAAGCTGAACTAATGCGGTGATAATAATGTACGGAGAGATTAGGGCTATATTACACGACAATCGAAGGTGGTCCAATGATACCAGCAAAGTCTCCGAAAGAGGGCTACGGGGCCATAAAAGGTTAGGCAAAGTGGATTGCGCGTAACTTCACAATTCTTCCGGTAGGGCCACTGGTTGAGCAAAACTGATCTAGACGTGAAGAGATATTGTTGCATAGGCTTTTCGTAATCATTTGGGCAGCCATTTCTGGTTTGTCCGACTGGATAATCAGATAAGATCACTTGTGTGCACGGTAAGACTATCGTGTGTTATAGGTGTTTCCCTAAGAATCTATTTCCGTAACAATGACCAATCAGTAAAAAGTCAACGACGATGTAACAATTGGAACTTTCGAAAGCCGCCGAGACACTTTGTTCGCTCAGACAGATTTTCAAGCATGGTTATAACAATGTCTCATTTTTGCGGTTTTGCGGGTTATTTGTCAGTTTTCCAAAAATTAGTTGTAAATAAAGTATTTTAATTGTCATGTCTTCCGATGCTTTTTAGTAGAATTGCAATAATCACGATAGACTAGGCTAAAATTAGCTATTAGTAAATGTAAGTGGAATGCGGCTGTATATTTTATTAAAAATAATTTTCAGCATGTAAATCAGTTTGTAAGTGTTGATTCTCCAAAACACTCGCAAAATAGGCATACAAACGTTTGCAATAGGTAAATATAGTATATTTTTATTCTGGAGACAAGGGCCGGGGGAGGCGATAGGAAAAACGCCGTTATAAGTATTTTCAAGATTTTGAAAAGCGCAATGAGTTTTCATAAACGTGAAATAAGTTTTATTGTAGCCGTACCAGCTTTCTTTCGAATTGCGATAGTGATAATATATATATTCATCGGTGCTCCCGAAGTATGCGAACCAAGATGGCGGACATCGGAACGTAACATGGGTAACAGGTTAGGGTTGGGCGATAATTTTTTTCCAATTTTCCTTATTTTAGTCCTATTATCAGTTCGAAGACTAGCCAAGAGCCTCCCGTAGTATTTATATCTAAAATTATGGCCTAACCCTAACCTAGTGCACATATTACATTCCGATGTCCGCCATCTTGGTTCGCATACTTCGGGAGCCCCGGTATTTGTCTGTCTGTATGTATGTCTGTTAGATGCACGCGATATCTCACGAAGGCGTGGTTGAATCTGCTCCAGATTTTGCATGTGCATTCATCATATGTCGGACCAGAAGCCTATTTATTTTGGGCAAATTATGTCGTATAATTAGCGAGTTATTAATTAATTAGTGATGGTACACAAGATGTCACTATGGAGTAAAAGCGCTGTTTTGGGGATCCCCTAACTTTCGATCGATAAGTCTTCGGTCTCTGACCGAAATTCTCGGTCACAGTATCACAGCGTAAAAACTTGCTGTTTTTAGTCAGTCAGTTAATTTTGTGATTTAGGGCAGGGGTGTGCAGCCTTCTTTACAGGCGGGTCATATACAAGTAACTGGGTGGAGTCGCGGGCTGCACCTAGAAACTCTACCTACGAAAGTCTTTGTATACGAAATATTTGTAGTTCTTACTTAGTATTTCTCTGTTCTTTCTTCTTACCATGTGTACCTCAAAGTATTTTCTACTTGCGAGGGGGTTTCCGCAGTTTGCACGCCCCTGATTTAAGGTATTACATACCGCCTACTGTGTGAGCATATTATTGAACCGTGAGATTTTACAAAATTTATTTTCCAAAAAATTTGTGTTGCATGGAAAATAGATTTAAAACTACTGGAATATATAATATTAGATAGTATGATAATAACAGCAAAGTATGTTTGTACGTATGGAGATTCATATAGACGGTGTATAAAAATTCATTTATTTACACTTATAAGAAAGTGGGAAAGTAAGGAATTGACCAAAACTACATTTAATCAATCGGTCTGCGACTCATTTCCATTCTTTTCAGGTATCTTCAAGACTCGAAGTGAGATAATGTTTTCAGTATTAAATATCAGTGGTAGTATCCATATTCATTATTAGTATTTTGGGCGCTCAAGAAGTATGTGCACCAAGATGGCGCACAACCTGATAACCTTAACCGGGAACACATACTATGTTCAGGTTGTGCGCCATCATGGTACACATACTTCGAGAACACCGTATTTTGTTGTGTCTCGTATGAACTAAGGGTAACCCTAACCTGTTACCCATGTTACGTTCCGATGTCCGCCATCTTGGTTCGCATACTTCGGGAGCACCCAAATACCTATCAACATACTTACCAATTAAAATCGATAAGTAATAAAATCCGTTACTTTATGATTTTTGTTTAAAAATTAAGCGACCAAAGAAAATTTTCAGTCGACCCAGTTTTGGAAATCACTGATCTGTTCAATAAGACAATTCTTTGGACCCAATTTTTTGACCTGATCTTAAATCATACTTTAATTAACGATATCCTTATTAAAATTGTCGCCGCAAATTCATTCCGGATCATGATTAAATAAAATATAAAGTTCGTTTAATCAAATTTCTATTTCCTTGAATAGATTGTATTCTTTCAGTTTGTGGCTATGTGATAAAAGCGTTATAAATTAACATAGTCGGGCGTTTACGTCAAAAATCAGAGTCTAAACTTTAGAGGTTACTACGGGTCGCTCTTAAATCGCAAAGTGAAGTAACTTTAATCGTGATTTTGTTCCGAGTTAAAATGTAATAAAACATGAAGACGGATCTTTGTGTATCGCAAAATCCATGTCCATGCTTCCGAAAACAAATAACTAACTAATCCCATACCCGAATTGGAATGGTAACCGGACGAGAGGCCGTGGTTCGCCATATGGTTAAGCTGTCTTATCGGCTTTCCTCTTCACCGGGATAAATATGTAAAACTTATCCTTTATCCTAATTTTGAAAATAATTTTAATATTAGGGTTCTCCTTAGAATAAAACTTAATCGATAGCGGAAATTTTTTGACCTAGTCGATAGCAAGAAATCTACCCTACACGTTTCAGATGATTGTTTTAAATTTATTTTCCCACCATATTATAGAACACATTGTGAATAAACAATACAAAAAATAAGTAATATATATGGTACCTCAGGGTGAAGGGTGGCGCGAGACACCAAGACTGAATATCGAGCAGCGACATCCATGAACGTTAAGACTAATTTAACCAATCGAACGTGGCGAACGCAATTCAAAAGTAAATGACATAACGAAAAAAATTCTGAAATAACAATTATGAAAAGCTCTAAAACCGAATAAACCAAACCGCGTGTAAACGCTCATCTTCCCAGAAACTCCTCCCGATGTGAAACAACGCGCGATTAATGGTCAAAGTCCAGACTTTTGAAGTTATTTCAGGTTTGATTTGTCACGTTATTTTTAATATCCAATCATTCTTCGTCCTTCAAAATTGTGTGGTTTTGATTGGATATCGAACGATGAATGTACAAAGTACAAACTTCGGAGGTTATTCTAGGTCACGATTGCCGCGTTTTATCTAACATCCAATCACTGTCCATCTTTCAAAATTGCGTGATTTTGATTGGATATCGGTAAAACTCGCGCGATAAATGTTCAAAGTCCAAACCACAGTTTCGAACTAAAATCGCAACGGTAAGAAATGCAATTGGATCGCAATATGATTTTTGATGAATATGATGAAAATCAGAATAAAATTATGGCCTAACTCTAACCTGTCACACACACTACGGGAATACCAATTTGATAGCGGGCAACCTATTTCGGGCCACCTTTTCTTTATTTTATTTCGAAAAGCGCTCGAATTACGTACAAAGTCGAACCTTCAGAGGCCGTCACAAGTCAAAATATAACATCCAAATTGACCCAACTTGGAGTTGATTCTACATTAACTCCGACTTCGACTACCGAAAATATTTGATCCCATCTTACAAACTAAATCCGGCATCCCAATCCGGATTGAGGACATTTGTGACTCCGACACCTGTTCACCACTTCATGATCAAGAATTCAGACTGTGGCTCCGTTTGCAATTCTGAGTCGACGTATAATTTGACTCTGGGCTCTCAATTCTAGTTTCAAGAATGTTTGACTCGGACCAGACCGAATCGTGACAGGCTTGGTTCATTTAATACTTTTCTGTTTCTTTTGAAAATTCTGACTTGGCTCAAGCATAAAAGACAGCATAGGGCAATGGAAAATTGTAATTTTCAAACGTTAGTAACTGAGTCTGATCCTCACAGAGTTTGAATATCAATCGCGCGCTTT